CATATATATATATATATATATATATATATACACATTATATATATTACTGTTCCTTTAGTGAACCCTAATTAATACAATGTTGAAGTGATATTTTCAGTATTTTGAAACAAAATAATTAATTGTACTGGTAAACTTTACTTTTTACTATGGTTATTAAGTTTTTAATTATATATGTTGTTTGCATGACATTTCTATTGAACAGCACTACGTGCTCATGCTGAAATGCAATCAATCTTTTAAATATCCACTAACCTGACAAGTGAAAATTGTATTTCATGTTTTTTAATAATGTATATTTCTTCTTATATAAAATGCCTATTCTTACTCTTATATTTTTAATGGACTTTGGCTTTTAACTGATTAACTTTTTCTTATTTTTTTCTTTTCTTGTTATTCCATGTAAAAAATGTTTGAAATCTGAATCCTGAATGTGCACCTCTTGCCTATATTAAACATACTAGTGGATGAAAGATTTTCCCAGAAAGAATGACTTTTATATTGATTCTGAAGCACTTGTTATCTAGCTAGAGGTAGAAGGATAATGCGAAGGGCACTCAGCAGAGAAAACCTTGTAATAGCATGAATCAAGATAAATGGCATGTATGGCAAACAATAGTAGGTCCTTTTGGGATTTAAAGTACAGAAGAGGAAATGAGCAGAAAAATTTAAAAAACTAGGTCATACAGACTCTTGTGCATTAAGTTAAGGATTATAAACTATCTTGAAAAATATTCAAACCTATTACTGATTTTTAGTATGTAAGCTACAGGATCAAGAAATGATAAGATCAAGATCTTTAGATAGGTTCTTTACCACCAAGGAAAGCGAAAGCCATTAGGTTCATGGTTACTTGTTGCTAGTACAAATGCTCTGAATTAAAGCAGTGAAGAGAGAATGTTCAAAACGTAGCTTTCTATTTCATCTAAGAAAAACTTCTTAAAATGCAAAAATTATGATTTTAAATTAGTTACTCTATAACTTAAATCTACACTGTCCAATAGAGTAGCTATACTATATATAACAGAGAAGATATAACTAACTTAGGAAATGCTGTCTTCTCTTGGCTCCTGCTATGATTTGGATGTGGTTTGTCTACTATAGTTTCATGTGCTGGAGACTTGGTCGCTAATATGATGGTGGTAAGGCAGTAAAATGGTTAAGAGGTAGGGTCTAGTATTAGGTAATCACTCAGAAGAGATTCATGCTGGTCTCTGAAAGTGAGTTAGCTGTTACAATGTGATTCTAAAGCAAGACCACTCCCTATACAGTACTTGACCCCCTTCTGCATGCAGCTATCTCCTTTATAGCTTCTCAGCTATATAATGACAGAGCTTATGTCCTCACCAGAGATGTTCAGAAGGAGCCAACTGATCTTGTACTTTTTTTTTCTTTCTTTTTTTGGTACTGGGGATCGAACTCAGGACCTTGAGCTTGTGAGACAGCTAAATCCTTGGCCCTGATCTTATAATTTTCATCTCCAAAATTGTGAGCTAAATAAACCTCTTCATTTCAGAAGGTATCCAGCCTCAGCTAATTTAGTACAGCAACAGAAAAATGGATCATTATAGCTTCTCTCCATGATCTCCCAGATTCCTGGTTTTCCTCCTACCTCACTGGGCACTTCTCTTTAGTACCCTCTGTTGATGCTTTTGCTGCTGCTCTGTTAGATCTCTACAAATTGAAGTACTTAAAAACTTCACTCTCTTCTCTACTACTCCTCTCCACAGGTGAGTTAGCACTGCTCCCTGACTTAGAATATCATCAGTATATAGTTGACCCTCAATTCTGTATCCACAACCTAGAGCTTTCACCAGAACTGCAAGCTTCACTCAACCACTAAAGATTGCCACTGGAATGCTGATTAGGCTTTTTAAAAGTCCATTATTTATCTCTGAACCCAAAAATCCCATTATTTATCTTTGAACCCAAAAATGTATTTAGTCCCCTTTTCCTTCATTCTTTCTCAACCAGAAAGTAGTATTGGTTGTTCTACCACACTCTAGGAAATTGTTCTTGAATTTTCCCCTTCCTTCAGTAAATCATAATTATATGCCTCCAAAAATATATCCCAAAGCCCTATCTACAGCTACTAGCTTAGTCCAAATCAACAATAAGTCTAACACAGTTCACAAATAGCCTTTCCTCTACTGTTCTCCACTGTAAGTCTACTACCATTATCCACATCCTTTAATAATTCTGTACAAGATCCTCCTCTATTGCTTGATACCTCTAGTGGTTTCTCTTTGTCCTTAAAATCAAATTCCTTTTTTTGGCCTACAAGAGCTCCGTATTATCTGGCCGGTGTTTATTGTGTCTCCAGTCTCATCTTCTACCATTTTCTTTCTTACTGCCTTTCAACCAACAAACCTTCTTCCTGAACTTCAAACATGCTAATCCAGTTAGTTTCAAGCCTTTGAATTAGCAGTTCCAAGTGTCAGAATTTTCTTCCCTAAGATCTTTGCACTATGGAAAACACTTAACAATCACATCTTGGTGCAAATTTTACTTCTAAAATAGACCTCCCTTAGTCACACAATCTAAAGTAGCTTCCTATGCAAATT